TTCCTTGGCCTGTTGGAAGAGATCACGGCACCACCAGAGATGATCCTCCTGGAGAATGTTGCAGGCTTCGAGGTCTCCCAGGCAAGGGGACGTCTGATTGGTGTGCTTGAAAAAAGAGGTTATACGTGGCAGGTGTGTGGACCATCACTCTCTGTAAGGGGGATATTTAGTTGATGATATGTATTGCTCTTTTATGATGTATATTGGTACTGGATGAATTTTCATTTCTTTGTTTCCTTTTTCTCCTTGTTTTTGTATATATTTTTTATGGCTTTTGTTTTTTATATCCAGTATATGTGTTGTGCTAGAATGGTAGTACAATGAACTGTGATATATTTTGAGTGTTAAGTGGAAGTAGACTCAATATGTATGATTTATATTTTAATCCACTGGATCAGGGTGCCTCAAAGACTGCACATGTACCAAAATCTGTGCATTAAACCTACTTGAGTGACAACTCTCCAGGGTTTGTAGCTTGTCCTGACCCACACAAACACATGGTGATTTCAAAGTGTCTTGCCTCCCCTTTGCAATATTATTATCTCTTATATTGCATAATAATTTTTTGCCATTTCAGAAGGTTACATTCGTCTTTTTTATGCTGTATGAAGATGTTTTCAACAAGCAGACTCATTATCTCTCTAGATAGTTTATGATTCTGTCCAGTAACAATAAGTAACATTCTATTATTTGTCATTTTTGTACTCAATTTTCTGTAATATACTATGGGCAGCCAATCAGTGGGCAGGGATTGGTTTCTGGGCATGGAAACACTCCACCAACCGTGGCTCATAGATAGAACATTTTACCCTTGTTTACTGATGAAAGTAATGCAAGAGCCCTTCCTAATGTTGATTACTTCTAAACTTCCATGAGCTTTTGCACTCATGACATGTCATTCCTGTCACTCCAGCCTTCAGCTGAATTTTTCCTGAATGCACATTTCCATTACCCTGGACCCTCAGCCAAATTTTACCATGATAGCATTTTCCCATCACTGGCCCACAGTCATATTTTTTCATGACATGGCAGTCACATCACCTGGATCCAATAGATTGATCTTAGATGAAAGAATGAAAAGTTTTAGGATTTATTTGAATCTTTTTACCCTTAGGAATTCCTGTTGTCTCCCACGGAAGTAGGAGTCCCAAACTCTCGTCTGCGTTATTACCTTCTGGCAAAATTGAAGCCCTCTACCTTCTGTTTTCCACAGTCACAAGAGGTATGGGATCTTTTGTTTTTTATTATATTTCTATGGTGTAATACTCTTTCTTATTGATGGAGTGCTTATAAATGAATATGTTAGAATATGTAATGCAAGGAAATAATTGAATTATATAAACTAGATTCATAGCGATGAGCTAAGGGGTCGCTAGATTAGTGGTTCCCAAAATGGTTGCTGCTGCTCGTAAGGGGACCATCAGGTCTTTTTTTGCCATTTTTCGCACATCTTGCTGAAATTGAGTTGAATGCATTTTAAAGGAGTTCCAGGGCTCTTGCTTCTCCCATGAAAATTTCAAGGCCCAACCGCTGCTTTCTAGGTGGCAGTGGCCCTTTTCGATGTCGACTAAAATGTTGATTTTTTACACATTACTTTAGAAAATGGGCAATTGTGACGTAATGATTAGATATAATAAAAAAATATGATTATTTGCTGAAAGCTTATTCAATTTCACGTAAAATGGGGACCAACCTTCATTTTTTCAGAATAATTTTTAAAATCTGGCAAGCGTCCCAAAAATAACAACAAAGAAATTTTTCATATATATAAATAAACATGATAAGCTGCTCATATGGAGTATTTTATTTTCTTTGTGTTTTCATCATACATAGTTTGATCTATGAGCAAAACATTTATGGGGGATAGGATTGCTAAATGATCCGGATCACCATCAGAATTTTATGGAATATTAGTTAGGCTAAGACACACACCTCAGGTAAATTTTATTTTATTAAAATCTGTTCATAACTTCTGGAGTTAGAAAAAAAAAAATCCTGGATCCGAACCATGGCCCACATCAGCACCAGAGTGCAATCGGCATCTGTTAGGTTAAAACATACCTCTGGTTAAAAGCTCATTAAAATGTGTTCATAACTTTTAGAAATATCAAAAAATACAATCAAATATACCATATATACATATTTTTACACCACCCTGTACTTGTATATCATATTTCACGAGAGTCTGAGTGTGAAAATTGGCCATGTCATCCCGTAGCGTTAAACAGCTTGGATCCTTGGGTTAAAAGTCAAGTGAGGGACGGCCCGATGTTCCCCAGTCTTGAAGAGAACAAGACGTGTATGATACCAGTTTGACTGGAGAATGATATTTTTTCGACCATTATTATACATTGTAAAATACCATTAAAGCAACAATAATAGATAATTATATCATATACAAGTATTCTGTACATGATTTCATATGTAAAATGTAAAGAAAAAGGAAAAGGAAAAAGAGAGTGATGTTTGGGTCCTTCAGATTTTTATGCATAGCACACGCATTTTCAATCCGATTTTAACATGTCATGTCTCATTTTGTAGCTGAATAGTAGGTCTATTACATGCTACAATAAGGATTTGCAATATTTTCATGTGCGTCTTATAAAAGTGACATATTTTCAAGATCCCTTATTAGGGTATTGTAATAGTGGCCTTCAGAAAATATTCACCAAAATAAAAATATGGTCGACTTCTAAAAATTGGCTTCTGCAAAGATTGTTCTATTCAGATATGAAATCAGAATGGCTGTATGATTTTTTGGAGGGATTTTAGAGAATTTTTTTTAAATGGGCAATGTAGGCCTATAGACACCTAATATCACTGCCACCCTACTACACCATACATACGATTTTGAGAAACTGTTACATGCTGGTACTGTCTGCAAAACTTTGGAATGCAGGTAGAGGATAGAGGATTATGGTGTAGGAAGACTACCTTGTTTTGTTAATTACAAAATAATCATGAAAAGATGAAGAAAAAGAAAAATGTTGATATCTCGAAACTCCACCCTTAGGTGTGGGTCAAAGGATTGCAGGGGCAAATTATGTCCGTAATTAACATATTATGGCTCATTTTGTAGAAAAATTAAATCTACACCTTTTTCATTATGGATTTTGCAGTTTTAGCCTGTGCTTGTAAAAGTTATCAATGTAAGTTTTTTGTCTTTCTTTCTTTTCTTTTCTTTTCTTTTCTTTTTTCTTTTTCTTTTCTTCTTCTTTTCTTTTCTTTTCTTCTTTTTTTCTTTTCTTTTCTTTTCTTTTTTTCTTTCTTTTTTCTTTCTTTTCTTTTCTTTTCTTTTCTTTTCTTTTTTCTTTTCTTTTCTTTTCTTTTCTTTTCTTTTCTTTTCTTTTCTTTTCTTTTCTTTTCTTTTTTCTTTTCTTTTTCTTTTCTTTCTTTTCTTTTCTTTTCTTTTCTTTTCTTTTCTTTTCTTTTCTTTTCTTTTCTTTTCTTTTCTTTCTTTTCTTTTCTTTTCTTTTCTTTTCTTTTCTTTTCTTTTCTTTTTCTTGTTCTTGAGGTTGCCAACTTAGAAAATTCACCCGAAAAATATGAAGTTGAAAAAAAAAAAAAAAAAAAAAAAAAAATGTTAATGAACAATCTGTAGATATAGGATAGTTCTAACAAAAAATCAAGTAAAATTGAATGTCTTGTCGTTTTTGAAGACGGAATCCTTTTACCCAGGTGCTGCATTTTCGGATTTTTTTCTTTTCTTTTCTTTTTTCTTTTTTCTTTTTTCTTTTTTGGCAATAATTAAAAAAACTGTTCTACTGATTTTTAAAAAATCATCCACAAGGAGCAGGCTAGGGTTTAAATAAAAGGGTATAGAGTTTCATAGTTGTGAGTTTCATAGTTTATTCACTATGCAACAAGCTAGTAACTATTAATAATAATGAATTATAAATTGTCTGTAATTCTGAAAAATAAAGACTGTAGTCATTTGCCAAGCTTCATTAATTTTGGATTGATAATGCAAGATCTGGGACTACATGGTAGTGGCTTCCTACCCTGTGACTGGTGAAAGTTTTCAAAATAATTTCTTCATGGGTGCTGCTGTTGATGTACTTATTTGATAGCACTCCATAGTAAATCATATTTCATTCTGAGATATGATTTTTGATCTGCATTCATATTTTTCTTTGAATTTTAACCTTTGTTGTAGTGAACAAGATAGAAGTTCACATGGTTTATAGATGGAAGGGTATTAACCACATCACAGACTGGTTTCCCAATATTGTTTTTTACTTATATTTGCTATATATACAATATTTTTCATGTAGAACCATACTATATTTTAGAAAAGCGAATTTTATACTTGGTAGTATTACCTCTTAAAAATGCAAGCTACTAAGAAGTGGCTGTTGATAAGTATATGATTTACATGAAGTGATAAAAAGAGATATCATATATGACTGAATTACCTATATTAATTATTGTGTAATGAAATGTGACAGATATATCCTATATTTGATAAACTTATCCTTAAAGAGAGCATTGTGCTATATGGAGAGTTCCTGGTTGATAGTAATAAATCATCTTATACTGATGCATATGCTAATAGATATTCACAAAGATGTTTTGCTTTTCTTGATTTCCTCCCCATAATCATGAGAAATGTATATAAATTTACTGCTTATAGAGGAGACCCTATTTCTGCCATATGTGCATGTCTGGGATGGATAAGTATGCTTAGATAAACTCATATGCTTTGGCTTTATACTTTACATATTGCAAAAATATTTTGGTCTCATTTATTGATAATATTAAAGTATTCGTTTTATAAATGGTGAACTAATGCTTTGTAATGTCTATTTTCCAGGTTTTAAATGAGCTACCTCTCTGCCTCTGTTGTAAAACCCAAGAGAAAGTTCCTAGCAGAGAGAGTCTGTGTCGTGATTGCAACAAGCAGATTTTGCCATCACTACAACACTTGCTGCACAAATTTCACTCTTCACAGAATGCAGATTGCCTTCAAACATCTACCTCCTTTAGAGATATAGAACCTTCGCTCACGTATTACCTTGAAAAAGATGGCAACATCGAGCCATATCTGCTCAGCACCAAAGTTTTACAGAAATATTTCATGATCCTAGACATAGTTATAAATGAGTCCAAAAGATCCTGCTGCTTCACCAAGGGGTATGCTCATTATGTGGAGGGAACTGGGTCGATTGTGCAACACAACACTGACATTTCTATGCCAGAGATTTACACACAGGTTCAGAACTTATCACCAGATGACCCTGAACGAGTTAGGTTATTGCAGAGTCTTCAGTTGAGATATTTCACTCCTGAGGAAGTAACGAGATTAATGTGTTTTCCAAACTGGTTTGAGTTTCCACTTTCAGTGACCAAGAAACAGAAGTACAAAGTATTAGGTAACAGTGTTAATGTATTGGTTATTACATCTCTCCTACTAATTCTAGTTGAAAGTTGACAAACAGTTCATTGAAAATGCATTTCTTATTCAAGGCTTATCCTTTGTCAGTGTCTTGAAGATGCTGAGTGGGTGGTTCTTAGAATACATTGTGATTTTTAATTAAAGATTCTTTTATTTAGAAGTTTTATCTTTTATTGTTTCCTCTTATTTTAATGGTTGATGCATTTTGAGCAATGAAAGTATTTGGCTGCGAATGGAATTCTGTAGAGAGAGAAAAATGCTTGTTGATTTGAAGATTGGAGAAAGTAAAGGCATCCGTGATATTATCAGTTAATTTAAGGCCCTAGCACTTTTTCTGTAATTTTTTTGTGTCTCTATATGAACTTTCGAGGAAGAACTGGACTGACCCTATTACACTACCAAGGCAGGAAACAAACATAACGTATTCGAGTTAGGGCCCGGGAATCACACGAGTATTCTCAGACATCACATTATTTTAAGAAATGTGTATATTTTATATAGAAGTATTCTAGAATATTAAGTTCTAATTTATCAATAAAAAGCATTCTGGTTGTATAGATCCTCCGTAGCATAAAATCAAGAAGGAGATTAGTCAGATGGAAACAGTCGCAACAATCGTCCGGTAGGCATTCTGTTTGCGTGCGATACTTTTGGAAAGCCTCAAATTTAGACGGAAAAAAGTGCTAGTGTAGTAGGTCCTTAACAAGTGTCATGAAAACAAGTTATGGTAGGTAAAAACTCCAACTTAGATATAAAGAATATTAAGAGCTGAGAATCAATAAATTTTTCAGTTAATATTGCACACCATGCAATTAAATCAGGTAAGCAATTTCTAGTAGTAGGTCCTTAAGGATACACATCCTTAAAAGGTGTAAAGATGCCTTAAATAATTTTTTGGAAATTTAAAGCTTTAAAAAAAACAGTCTGTTACAGTCTATCATTTGGTATACTTGCAGAGGCTGTTGCGATTCACTCACTTGCGATTTCCACCACTGATCTCAAAAGAATTGGATCTAGCATCTATTGTGTCATTTTTGAAGCTGACGGCGGCCATCTTGGGGGGGGGGGGACTTGCAGTGGGGTTATGTTTGTAAAGTACATTTAGAGCAGAGAGAAGAAATTTTACATTTTATGATCATGTGTGGCATAGGTAAGGTGATTTGGTATTTTAGTAGCTTTTGAAAAGGCTGCTTAGTTTTAACGCAAAAGGGGAGGAGAGGCTCAGGGTCTGCCTGGGACATGAAAAGAAATAGAAAATTATTCGAAAAAAATGGTATTTCGGTAAGATTTATTTATATGTCCGAAAGTTTGAATGCGGACTTGGTAAATATGAGGGTAATCATATTTTGGCTAACTTAACACCTGCGCATCGCCTATAATTTACATATCACGACGTATATTATCCCTCTTCAATGTGTATGGATGCAAGATAAGAGTTGCATTTAACGAACAGTTTTTCAGTCATTTAGTAACGTTATATGGAAGTAACCACTACAATTATAAAGCTGTATTGTGTAAAGTGCTCCCACCAAAATGGCGCCGATCTTAGCTTTAAAAATTGCTGCCCGAAAATATTAGCTGTTCGATCCAGTTTTATTGAGATCAGTGGTCTCCATGCGACGTGATCGGAAATCATTTGTCAACATCAGACCTGCCTTTACTGATCGACGCTATGGTTTACTTACGGGCCGTGTACAAAAAAATGATTATGGCGCGCAATTCAATACAGCCGTGGGGTAAAAATCATGTGATTTTTTTTTTTTTTTTATCTTGGTCATTGGTACAAGTAGGCATGCACATTAAGGGGAAGTCAGTAATCAGTGACAAGTAGCTCCAGGTCTTAAAAAGCAATTGGTATGAGTCTTAAAAAGTCTTACAAAGGTCTACAATTTCATCAGCTCTCCGTATCTTTTTAATGAAGTTCCTAAGTAGACTTCTTCCCTGCGTTTCTAATGTTACTATCCCTTTTTCTGCATACGCATTTTTTTTTTTTTTTTTTTTTTTTGCCATTTTCTAAAATCTATATTAGTCACTCAGTATACTACAACATGGTAATAAATTGTTTTCCTTGTACAGACTCTCTCTAGGTAGTCTACAACTCTACA